AAAAGGGTAGAATGTTTCTCAGGCCACACAGATCCTATACTTCAAAATTAAAGCATGTAACCTTCTGATGAAGGTCTAAATAAAATATCATCTTTCCTGTGTAAGGGACACCAATCAAGAGATACAACCAATAAACATCTCTTGAAAAAATATCCATTAAAAAAATGAGTGTGCCTTTTCCCTGCTCCAAGAAAGAACTTACTGAATGGTAACTGAACAATGCCAGTTCAAGATGCCAACTCTCAGATTCTCAAATCACAGTATTTTGTTTGACCTTCTATGACCATTTAGTCAACAGGAAAATCAACATGGTGGATTTTAAAAGTCCTCTTCCTTCTCTTCCTAGACTCATGGTTCTAAGTGTGATTTCCAGAGGAGCAAAAGCAATAGCAAATCACCTGGAAATCTGTTAAAAACGTAAACTCTTGGACCTCACCCAGTCCTATTGCAACATAAACTTGGTGGGGCGGGGGGGGGGGGGGGCACCAATCTGTATTTTAACAAACCCTGCAGATAATTATGTAGACCAAAGTTTGAGAACTTCAATCCTAGACTATCAATGCATCTGTGCATTGTTTCTCTGTGTACACAGCTCTTAGCAGTTTGTCATTTTACAAATGCCTTCTCCATATTAAATTAATTGGATTGCTATAATAGATTTTTAATAATATATATTGAATTGTACACACATACATACACACATACACACATATATACGTCATATATATGACATATATATACATATACACATATATACATATATATACATACACACATATATACGTCATATATATGACGTATATATGTGTGTATGTATATATATGAGAAGTTTCATTTTGTCCTGTCCAGTGTTCCATTAGTTTTGGCTCATGCAGAACTAGCATAAAGTTTAAATACAAATTGCTGGGATGCCTGGGTGGCTCAGTCGGTTAAGTGTCTGACTTCAGCTCAGGTCATGATCTCATGGTTTGTGGGCTCAAGGCCCGTGTCAGGCTCTGTGCTGACAGCTAGCTCAGAGCCTGGAGCCTGTCTTCAAATTCTGTGTCTCCCTCTCTCTCTGACCCTCTCCTACTCACGTTGTCTCTCTCTCTCTCTCTCTCTCAATAATAAATAAATACAAATTGCTATAATTTAACAGCCTTAACTATCACATTCCACTAATTCCCTATCTTTGAATTTTTCACCTAAGAGTCCTCCTGGGTGGCTCAATTGGTCAAGTGTCTGACTCTTGGTTTCAACTCAGGTCATGATGTCAGCTTGTGGGATGGAGCCCTCTATCGGGCTCTGTGCTGACAGCATGAAGCCTCTTTGGGATTCTCTCTCTCTGTCCCTTCCCTCCTTGTGTATGTGCACTTTCTCTCTCAAAATTAATAACCATGGAAAAAATTTTTTAAAAATATTTTCTTTCTCATACCAAAATAACAGTTTCTACTGGTTGCATTGTGAAGCTAAGTGACAGCAGGTATAGGTTTTGAATTTCTTTTTCTTTCCTCTTTGGTAACAAATGAAAGTGGGAACGCTAGGAGTTGTTAAAAGGAAGTGAATGAATTCTTTGTCTCATTCTGCACAGATGTGCTGAATTCACATTTCCCAAAGGAGAAAGAGGACCTATTCAAAAGGAAGTACGGGTCACAGTATATATAACAAATGTTTAAGGAATCAGGATGTATGAATTCCAAGGTCAGGTGGCTTACTCCTCAGAATTCTGGATGATGTAGTAAGAAAGGAAAACACTGAAGGCCAGATGATAATCTAGGATACACAGCACATATTTCAACAAGGCTACAGCTGCATTAAACAAAGATGTGCCTACTTGTTTGAAGTTAGAATTTGGCAATTAGTAATCTACTTGAAACTTTTCACAAATAGATGGTGAAATGGAAGAATGTCAGTACTTAAGACTCTAGGAAACATAGGAAAAAATTTTTAAATCACAATTTAAAAATCAATATTGCTATTTAAAATATAAAGTTACTTATAATACTGTTGTTGTTGTTTTCAGGCAAAAATAGAAAAGGGGATGGAGGGACAGCCCCAAAGTTGAAACTAAAATGTCTGAATTACAGGGATATCCATAGACATTTTAGCCAGACAACAGTAAGGTTTTCAAATAGACAGATAACCTGTCAGGTCAATAAGAACAGTATGCAGCAGAAGTCACTTCAATGGACTAAGACTAGACTGGAGGCAAATGCCAAGGGCAGCCTACTTTTTTTAAGTTCCAAATAAGAATGATAAAATTGGAAGTAGATAGGAAGGATGAAAAAAAATTATTAGACACTTTTATAAAAACCTGCCTGATTTAACACAGTTTGTCCTTATACCCAGAACACAAAGAAGAAATGAAGAGACTCTAAAATGGTATTAAAAGAGAAGAAAACACCCAGGAGAAATTATCAAGATCAAAACTCTAGTCCTTAATGGCTGAAACCACCACAGATTATGAAATTATGTATGAAGGGGATTCAAGTTATTTAATATTTATATGATAAACATCACTGCTGAAACACTTCTCAGGATCAATAAAGCCTACAACTTCTCTAAATAGTTCTTTGGAGTTCTGCATTCATAAAGTATTCTCCTTAATCTACTTCCTGTGACTAGTTTGGTAGGTAGCTAGTTACCTGGAAAAAGAAAGCAAACAAATCTTAAATTGAGCAACTGAAAGAAATCGATGCTAGTTTTAACAGTTGAACAAAGAAAACTTCCCAGACAGCCCAAATACCAAAAAATCACAAATGAAAGCCTTATAGTTTATGCCAGTGTGATAACAATTAGCATATCCCAAGTGATAACCTTACAAATTACCATACAAGAGAACAGTTCAACTATATTAAGATAGAATCAATGACTTTTGCAACCAAACACAATATGGTATCCCTGTTGAGTTTGATTTTAAATTAGAGCCCCTCAGAATATTAAAGTTATTAAAAGCTCTAGGGGGCAGAGGAAATGTCACAAAAATGACAATATTGTAGTTTCATCAAACATTTGCAACTAATACAAAGTGGCTCTGTTCTTGGAATGAGGCCACTATATTTGATTTTTTTTTTAAATTGAAAGATTTGATAGTAAGCAACTAGAAAACTTTCAAAATATTTTGGAAAGAAATTATACAGTCCTTTAAATCTTGCTAGGAAAAAAACAAATGGAGGCGCAAAAAGAGGGGAAAAAACAGGTTTGTTACCACCCGCTCTCATTAAGAGAGGTACTTTTTTTTTTTTTTTTGCACATTTACTTTTACAATTTTCTTTGAAAAATACTGTCCACCTATTCATCCCTCAGGGAACAATTAAACACAATATTAGATGAAAAACCAACCGAACAAAACCATCCCATACAAACCTGAAAGAAAAATTAATCGATCCACATGTTAAAGACGAGATAAGAGTTTTAAAGATAAAAAGGCAAGCTTTCTGATATGTACTTTCCCAAAAGTGGATGGAATTAGAAGATAAGCATCTAATTGGCCCTTAATTAAAACAAAGAGGAATGCCCGTGTTTCAGAACAATAGGTTGTCCACCCCCAAAGAACCTATGAAACCAGGCTTGCTTAAAAAGGGTAATGGGTATAGTTCTCATACTAATTTCTGTAGATAACATCTTGGGATAAATTTTCTACCGAACAGAAATGAGTGTGAGAAGTGTTCTATTGTTGAAACGAAATGTTTCTGCCTTCAATCCTTCCCTTTCCAGTTCTCCTCATCTTATCCAGAAACCTCTCCAACCAGAGTTCATGCATTTTCCTTCTCTATTTTAGTGAAAATATACCACATTGATTGTAAGAATCTTACTAGATTTCCATTTGTTTTGCCTCAGCTCCTACATTAATCCAAACAATAAGGGCCTTGAAAACATTCATAAATAACCTGCTGCTGCTGGCACCTAGGAGCCGAGTGCTGCAATGTTAAGCAACAACAAATTTCATAGTTCAAGAGGCACAGTTAAGGAAAAAGGTTGCTCAGGAAATCACTCTTATTTAGCACAAAGATCCTTAAAAATTGCATGAAATCAGTCAAGTAACTATAGAAACCAATTTCTTCAGCTCCATATCACACGTCTCACACCTCAATTGTCTTTATTATCGTCTGCTGTCAGATCCTTAATCAGAAATGTGAACAGGCTTGATGATTTATTCAGCAGGGAAAAGAATCTGTAGGTCAAGTGAAAAATTTCACACACACACCCAAACACACACCACATCTTCAACCTTAGGTACTTTCATTTCCTTCTGTTCTCAGCAGCTCTGGGGGCAACTCCAGTGAGATCCAATATTAAGGCTCAATTAAAATAAGCTCCAATTAGTGGAGCTTTTTTCTCTGGGGCTAGAAAAGTCAGGAAATGGATATTGGGAAATGTAAAAAGTCAGCTACTGAGAGGAGGCTGCAGACATAAATGAACTTATTTGTTGATTTCTACAGTTGCTATGCAGAGGCCTCTGGGAGTAAAAGCTTAACCAGTCTAAGCTATAAACTAAAACCCCTGCAGCTAAACATGAACTGTGTGAAACAAGGGCTCCATTCCAGAACAGAAAACTGCTGGGCCCAGAAAATTAAAAGCCAGAGGCGTTTTCCATTTAAAACTAAATCCCAGTACCACCTCCCAGCCAAAGAATTATAAGCAGTATCAGATTTACAAAACGAACAATTACCCTGGAAAAATGTAGCCTATTGTACAGTCCCAGATGCTAAATCTCAGAAGTTTCTTTTCTTTTTTTTTTTTTTTTTAATCCCACATTATATTCCTCCAAGTACACCGCTGTAGTTTACAAAGAGCCATTTCTAGACAGGCCTAAGCCTTGAAAATAAATTTTAAAAAGAGAGCACATAACTCATTGACCTCATTTGAAGTACTGCCCTTGCCTTGAGCAGTTCCTGTCCTTCCCCAAGGCTTCTGCAAATGGTATGCAACAGCAAAATAAACCCTGACCTAATTGCCAGGAGAGAGCTGCCAACCTTCCCTCCAACACAAAGACAAGCATGGTAACTTGAAAGTCCTACCTCTTTGGCTTTTTGCTTTAATCTCAGCTGTTCTGGATCTTCTTTATTGGAACGACTCTATCAAAGGAAAAGAAAATTTTAATAGAAATTACTAGCATCTAAACACCATAGTTGCCATTAAATATTTAATAAATGACAATTTTCTCTTGTGATTGAAAACCTTAGCTCCAGGGGAAAATGCCTCAATCCAGTCTGGTGCACTCCCTCCGTTATGCCCCCTCCCTCCCATCATCTGGGCTGGCTGCTGCAGCTCTAGCCCCGAGGAAGCTTAAACTGAAAATGATGCTAACGATGTCAGTCAGGTCCAGTTGAGGCATGACGCTGTTCTTGTTAGAACACTAAAAACTAAAAAATGGATGGTACAGATGAAGGAAAAGAAAAGAAGGATAATTGTTGGCTCAAATGAAGGAAAGCAATCAACACTGGCTAATCTTCAGGTGAAGCCATTCTGGAAAAACATAAGGTATTTTAAGGACTGTTAAAATCAAGAACCTCACTGGGTGATGTATGAAGTTGTTGAATCACTATACTGTATGCCTGAAACTAATATAACACTGCATGCTAATTAATTGGAAAATAAAAACTTAAATAAAATGAAATCAGGAACCTGACGGTCTTTGAACCACTCTCTCTTTAAAAGTAGAATTTTAAAAAATTAAGTAGGAAATATACCCCAATATTTTCATTAGAGTATCTTGTCATCTCTGGGTCCTCCATAGCACTTACTTGAATGCTGTGCACAATTAAATGCGCAATAAATGTTTATTAAATATTGCCTTCCATTCTGATTCAGTATAACATTCCAAAAATGAACAATCTTACAGAATTGCTGTAAGGAGAAAACTACCTTCTATATGCAATACTATGATGAAACAAAGGGTAAAGAATTTCACTTCTGAAACTATGAACATTTGTCCACTGAAAAATATGTGGAGGAGTATTCTTTTTTCTCTTTCTAACAAAGTTATCTAACTCCTTATAAATATGAATATTTGTTCTATAAAATGTAACATTATCTACCTAAAGGTAGCTAACAAAATAGAAGCTAATGGTTTTTCTTATTTACTAAATTTACTTGATACATTTTACTGATTTATCAGTACTTTTGTTAAGGAAAGAAAGAAACCATTTATTCGTAAAAGTGCCTTGTGATTTTAAACACCTTAGTTAAATATCTTCATAAGACTCCACGAAAAGCTGGTGGGTGACTTTTTTCTTCATTTTGTCTCCTATTTATTAAAATTTTTTTTTTTTTAGTGATTCTATATTTTTTGAGAGACAGACAGAGCGTGAGCAGGAGAGAGGCAGACAAAGAATCTGAGGCAGACTCCACACTCCGAGCTGTCAGCAATGAACCCACTGAGGGGCCCGAACCCATGCACTATGTAGGAGATCATGACCTGAGCTGAGGTCAGATGCCCAAGTGACTGAGCCACCCAGGCACTCCATTCTCTATTAAAAAACTTCACTTCAGCCCAAACTAAAGTCCTTTATTAGTCCACTTTTATTAATTAGGAGACTGTGTGTGTGTGTGTGTGTGTGTATATATATGCACTTATATAAAAAATGTGTATGTACATATATGTGTATATATATTTGTGAGTATATAATTTTTGCGTCAGTATGAAATGGGCATATTTGAGTATCAAGTCTTTGTCAGTCAACCAGTATTTATTGATTATTCATAGTATAAATTCTACTCTATGTGCCTATTCTGAGCCTGGAGATAAAGAAATGAAGTAACAAGATGGAGTCCCTGCTTTCAAGAGAATTATATTTTAGGAAGAGAAAAATAATAAAACAATAAATTTTATAAAAATTAAACACAGTTGTGATTCGTAAAACATTTATGATAGGGAAAATTAAAAAACAATTACTGATAATGATAAGATATAGCAAAGAAAATAAAATTGGGGGCACCTGCACACAGCTCAGTTGAGTGGGCATCCAACTCTTGATTTTGGCTCAGGTCATGATCCCAGGGTTATGGGGTTAAGCCCTGCATTGGGCTCTGCGCTGAGCATGGAGCCTGTTTGAGATTCTTCCCCCACACACACACAAAATTAAAAAATAAAGTAAAAGGGGCACCTGGGTGGCTCAGTTGGTTAAGTGTCCGACTTCGGCTCAGGTCATGATCTCATGGTTCGTAGGTTCGAGCCCTGTGTCGGGCTCTGTGCTGACAGCTAGCTCAGAGCCTGGAGCCTGTTTCAGAATCTATGTCTCCCTCTCTCTCTGACCCTTCCTTGCTCATGCTGTCTCTCTCTCTCTCTCTCAAAAATAAATGAAACATTAAAAAAAATTTTAAATAAAATAAAATATGTAATAGAAAAAGAGAGGAAGGAGTGTGTGGGGGTGGGAGGAGGTGATACTTCTTTAGCTAGGAAGGGAAAAAAGAAAAGACATCTGAAAGAAGTGACATCTGAGTAGAGATCTGAATGACAAGAAGGAGGCAGCCATGCAAAGATCTAGGGGAAAAATATGCCAAGCAAAGGGCACAGTCATTGCAAAAGCCTTAAAATGGGAACAAGCTTGGTGAAATTGAGGAAAGAGGGGTGCCTAGGTGGCTGAGTCAGTTGAGCATCTGACTCTTAATTTTGGCTCAGGTCACGATCTCACAGTCATGAGCCCGAGCTCCATGTCAGGCTTGGCACTGACAGTGTGCAGCCTGCTTGAGATTCTCTTTCTCTCTCACTCTGCCCCTCCCCTACTCAAATGCTCATGCATATGTGCTCTCTCTCTCAAAATAAATAAACTTTAAAAAAATTGTGTAAAGAAAGAAGGCCCAGGTAGCTGGAACACAGAGAAAAGTTGAAAGAGATAAGATTAGAGACCACGCAGGCCATGATAAGGAACTGGGTTTTAATTCTAGTTATAAGAAAAAGCCACTAAAGGGCTTGGAGCACAGGAGAGAGATGGCACTGATAACAACACTTTAGAAAGATTACTCTGGCTGCCTCCAGTGGCTGCAGAACTGTAGGGATCCAAGATCAGAGGCACAGACACACAGAACAATGTAGGAGACTGCTCTAAAACAACCATTGTTTTATTTTTTTAATCAATTAATTGGGAGAGACAGAACAGGGTGGGGGGCAGAGAAAATCTCAAGCAGGCTCTGTGCTGCCAACGCAGAGCCTGATGCAGGGCTCAAACCCACAAAACTGCAAGATCATGACCTCAGCCGAAACCGAGTCGGACATTCAACCAACTGAGCCATCCAGGTGACCCTTAAACAACCATTATTTTAGAAAAAGATAAGGGCAGCTTGGACTAGTATAAAAGAGAAGATGATGATAAATGATCAGGTTGAAATATATCTGAGGCAGATTTACTGATGGATTAGATATAGGGTATGAAGTAAAGACACAGAATTAAGGATGATTTCCTAGGATTCTATCTAGTCTAAGCAAGTGGAAGGATGAGAATTCCAACCTTCTGAGAGGATAAAGACCAAAGCAGATATAGGACATAGGAACTCAACTTTCAGGTTTAGATGCCTAATTAGGTAAGATGCACACTCTGCACCCTCAAAGGTCAGTGTGACTGGAGCAAAACAGTGAAGGAACAGGAGAGGAGCTCAGAGAGGTAGGCAGGTATCTTTTAAAATCTGGTACGAAGTTTGGATTTTATTTTAAATGCAAGAGAAAGTCACTGAGGCTTTTACGTAACAGAGATACACATAATTTGTTATGAAAACACTATTCTGACAAGGGTATGAAAAATGGATTGTAGAAGGAAAATGAGATAAGTTAGGAGACATTACAAAAGTCCAAGTGAAAGATGACTTAGACCAGAGTGGTGATACTGGTGATAAAGAGAAGATGAAGAATACATTTGGGAAACAGAACAGAAAGTGAACTGGATGTAGGGAGAGGAAAAGGAGTTAAAGATGACTCATAAGTTTTCTGGCCTGAACACTAGCACAAACAATTGTGTCACTTATTAAGTTTAGGAAAACCTAGTAAGAGTAAAAGGTATTGAGTGAGGAGGAAAACCAGAAAACCTGGGATACTCCGATATTTAGAAGTCTGGTAAAGGTAGAAAAACCACGAGAGAGCCTGTAACATATAACCAATAATTACTGAACAAGTATTTAACAGCTTATGACTTTGTTTACAGCACAGTAATTGGAAATAAAATACGAATTAACCACCTCATCACACTGACTGTGTGCTTGCTTATAATATTGACAGCTCAAGGAAGAGCATCTTCCTGTCCCAGCTGCCCTTCACAGTTCAAGAGGGGTGAGCATGGGGGCTGAGACTGTGAGAAGCAGCACAGTGATAAGGCTGTGGTATACCACTTCCTTGTGGGGGTTGGGGCCCATGAAGTTATAGACCAGTGGCCAAAGAATGCGGGATGATGAAGGGCTGGGAAAAATGATCAAGGCATGGGCCAGTGGGTATGGCTACTAATTACAAGGCAGGGGAAATAGTGGTAGCAGACAGAGGAGGCAGCCAGCATGGCTGTTTTAGAGAGCAAAACAAGTAAATTGAGGAAATAAGTAAGTTGAGCAAATAAGTAAACTGAGGACATACATAAATATCTTGAAGATAACAAGAATCAAGTATCTGACTATGGGGAAAGTATTTATAAACATGGAAAAGTTTAGGCTAGAAAAAGTCCTAAGATATTGGAATTGGAGGTATCCATATAAACTTACGGTCTTAGAATACATACACACAAAGAAATAGTTACAAATGTATGTTTGTGTATATATAAATACACCTGTACATACATATACACCATACATATAGTTCCACTTGACAGGGCCTACATGTAATGACACCCCATTAGCACACTGTAAGCTATACTCTTGGTTTCTGGATAACATCCTCAACTAAAAAGATACAGCATTCTTTGGGGGAAATGGCTGATTCCAGAGCTGAGGAAGGACAAGCAAAAGCTAGGCCTGGAACATCCTGTGCTAGAAAGTAAAGATAAGCTCAGTGAATGATGAGAAACATGAGTAACAGACAGAAGTGAAACCTGGAAGGGTCTCCCATTCAGGAGGAATTTGAGCATCAAAATAAATAAGAATAGCAAAGGATTACAACCTGTTGAATTACACAGAAATCCAAGAGCTTGTATTGATATCAATTAATGCATGCATGGATGAATGAATGAAAGAAAAAGGAAAGCTCGTCCACATAGCAGAATGCTAATAAATGTAGAAGAAGATGAGAAATTTAAAATCACCATTTGAGTATTTACAAGTTGTGCCCATCATAGAAGTGACTGATTCAGGTAGACACCATCTGTGGGTGCTAACCTGAATACATGGAAGTTGATGAGGAAGAGGATATTGATATAATCCTGGAATACCTTCCTATGAAAAACTGATTACAAAAGGGAAAGTTGCAAATTTAAAATGGAGAGAATTGGTAGGCACCCACACAACTAGGTGATCAAGGTTGCCTTTTGATATTATCAGCTGGGAAGAATACATGTATTCCTGCCAAGAATTCATGACCTAAGACATGAGGAAATATCAGATGAACCCAGGAATTAGTCACCCTATAGACAGTAAGGCCTGTACTCTTGAAACCTGTCAAAGACATGAGGGAGAAAGTCAGAAATCTAACTGAAACTGAAAAAGAGAGGAGAACCGAATGAAACACATATTGCTGAATGGAAAAATAAACCATGGAGGAAAAGGAGAATGAGCTGAGCAGCTGGTGAAATCTGAATGGGGTCTGTGGATTACATGGCAGTGTTATATTGTTCACCCCCTGACTTGGAGGGTTCTACAGCAGAATATCCTGTTTTCACAAATACATGCTAGAATGTTTAGGAGTGATGGGGACATCATGGCTCAAGCCTGCTTTCCAAAAGGTTCAGAGAAAGGCTAATTAGAGATGACAATTGTACTACTTGTAAATATATTTAAAAAAAAAAAAAGACAACTCTGAATTCAAAGAAAGAACGAAGGGATGAAAGAGAATAATGATTGTGTGTGTGTGTGTGTGTGTGTGTGTGTGTGTAGAAAGGATGGAGATGGAGAAAATGCATTAGAATGTTAAAAAAAAAGGGGGGGGATGTGAGAAAAGGAGAGGAGGATTCTTTGTATAGTTCAGCAACTTTGCTGTTAAATATGAAATACTTCAAAATAAATTAATTCTTTAAAAAGTGATTCATGTGTGATTAGGAACAAATACTCTGATAGAGGAGACTGCCAATAACACTACATATTAAAGCAAAGGTGTTTAAAACAAAAATAAGGCTAGTGCCCAACTTTTATGACTACTTGCAAAGGCCTTAGGCCTACGAAGAAATGTGAAGCAACAAAATGCAAACCACAGGAGAACCAGCTTTCACTCCATCTGGCACTAACAGTCCAGGAAAATGTTTCAATAAAGAAGACAGGAAATAAATATAGTTACATATATTTATAAGATAAATACTTTTCTTCTTGCCTCTTTATTCTCTAACCCATTTCTGCCCATCCTATATTTCTGTTCCATATAATGCTAATTAATCCTAATTTTACCCAGAAATTTCCAAATCTTCTTGTCTCAAATTCAACATAGCACACATCAAATTATATCCCTAAAAAGATCTTGAACATTTCTTAAAAATGTTTTTACTTAAGGGTAGTAGGGATGATCCTAGGCATACAGGAATTGAGAATGAGATGAAAGATTGCATCTTATTAAACTAAATTAGTTGAAAGTGACTGTAACACACTATCCTGGCTGTGAGAGACTTTATTAGTAATTTCATTTCAAAAAATCCTTCAGAGAAATCTCAAAGCTTAATAAAAATAAAACAGTCAACCAACAATAAAGCCAATTCTGACCTCCTTGCCAGGCCATGTTCAATCATAAATCATGTAGGCTCTCACCTTGGCTACCCTAAGTAGCATTTCTCTTTCTTCTAAATCCTTTCTCTGCTTCTCCAATTGATCCAGCTTTTCAAGAAATTTGAGCTGTGATCTGGTGTCACTAGACAGGATGTAATTTTCACTTGCCTGGAAAAAAAGAAAAAAAAAAAAGCTCATGATGATCCTAGGCAAGACATTCTACACGAGGTATTATAAATCAGCTAAAGACAACAATACTAACATACACAGGGAGCTAAATTTTCAAGATGTAATATTTGTATTTCTGATAATACAAACGACAAAAAATCCTCAGTCATCTTTATAAGTTCAGAGGCAATTAAGCATTCAAATTTCAGAGCTTTCCTAGTAAGTTTCAAGGGGGAAAAAAGAATTAAGCCAAGCAAATCCTAACAATAGGAAGTAGAAAGCAAGAGAGTATATCATGTACCTACAACCTAAAGTCTTCTTAGTTAAATTATTGTCCATCCCTGCAGACCTTGGTATGATTAATTAAATCTCAGGGCTGTGAAAGACAAAAACAAAACCAAACAGACAAAGAAAACCAAACAAAAAACAATCACTTCACTAAAAAATATATCAAAGATGAAAGTTACCATTCCTGTTTCCATTGTTGGATTGGTCTAACCATGACAAGTGAGTACAACTTCAATCAAAATATAACATAAGATGAAATGGCAAACATTTAATATCCTAAACCTCGTTTTAAGGACTAGTTTAAGCTATGAACTAGTGAAACTAAATCAAAGAAATTAAGTAGACAATTTATAAATGAGAGCCATAACAGAGAAGTGTAATTGTTTGTCTTAATTTGCTCCATAAAATGATGAAACTTACATTGCTTTATTTATTCTGATATTCTAGAGTGTAAGACGGTGCTTTCCAATTTAAATATTTAAAAAATTTTCTTCATCTGATATGACCTCCTACCTTTCTAAAACACAGAAGATGGGGATTGGCAGGCAGGGGCAGGAACAGTGGACAATCTTCCCAATCAGCATTTAGGATATCCTGCCATCTAGTCATCTCAGTAAATCAGACACCCAAAATATGGCATGGGAACTGGGGGAGACTGTATAACAGGAAAACTTAAAGTTGTTCAACATTTAGTCCAACAGTGAGTGCCTGGCTTGGAAATCATAGGTACAGCACCAATCCCATCTTTGTTTTATCCCATGCTTATGGCTGATTCAATTAACTGGGACCAAGAGATTTCATATGCCCAAGATTCTTTCTAAATTAAATTTTTATTGTTGGTATTTAACTAGATCAAAAGAGTATTACGTAGTATAACGAACAAGGATGTATTAGTGCTACTTATTTTAGTTCATGTTTAATACAAAACGAATTCTCAAATGCTTTTAAAGTTAAATAATACAAGACAGAATATGGAATACATTATAGGCCAACCATGAGGCATAAACATAATAACCAGTGGTTTCTTAAATACTTTGTCTTTACCATTTTTGTGCTCAGATACTCTGGAGATAGTTTACTGACAGAATTTAATTTTAAAAGGACAACAAACACTAAATTAAAAAGGAGCACAGACTTTCTAAAATTTAACCCAATCTCATCCCCAAACTAAGCCTCTTCTGTTCCCAACTTAAATATAACTGCCTCTGGCTTCATGCATCCTTCTCCTTTATTCTTACAGATGCTAAGCAAATGAATGTCTCCCCTATTTCTATTGATTCCACAAACTTATTTAAAGAACAGTAACCCCATCTTACCAGGTTGCTTCCTATCTACCATGCTGACCTAACTGATGTCTTTATGTACCACTGAATAGGGTGGTTTAACAATGAAAATATAGGGACTCAGACCAAATGATAACACCATTAAGCAAATTCCATCTAAAGGAAGAACTACATCCCCTTTCAACTAGAAAAGGCTGAAGCTTCTCCAGGACCACTGGTGTGCAGAAGACCATAATATAGCTTCGGTGGGAAAACACCTGGCAGCAAGATCAAAAGCTCTGCATCACATGTGTCACTTTCTACTTCTTAAGTCCATAGTTTATGGATTATGATTAATTAGATAATTATATCTAAACATGTGAAAGATTACCAAAAGTAGATGGATATCAAATCAAAAGAGATGGTAGGATTTTGCTTTTAGTAAAAGTAAGCTTGTTTCAGTGCAATTCATAGGGTAAAATTTCCCACACTGTACAGATAAAAATAAATCCTATCAAGGATGAACTAAAATATAAGGACAGAACACAACTGTGTATAAGGACACAATGATTATTATAAGATCAAAGTCTACAAAACAAATATAATTTTGAACCAGATCCAAATATAACTAAATGATTATCACTTCTGTTTAAAGAAGGATAATAATGTAACTACAAATACAGACAGTGGCATTAGTTGCATTAAGTAATGAGTGTGGGGAAAGGCAGGCAGGGGAAAATCAATTAGGTTAAGGTTAAGGAAGTGTTAGCTCTAAGCTAAGTTACTGAGGTTGCAGGTGGGGTAGATATTATCCATTTTGCCTCAGGCAACAAAATCCTTAGAACATATGCTATTAATATACAACAGAAGAATTCCATCTGAAGACTGGAACACACAACAGTGACTTGGATGAGAGAATAATAAACATTACTTGGAAATATTCTATTCCATACTCAATTATACAGTTAAGTTTTATATAGAAACTGCCACTGTAAATAAAAGTGCACTCATAAATCTCTGAAAGAGTTTGGTGACCTTGGTGAGGATAGGGGATAATCCAGGTTTGACGAATTTGGAAGACTTTTAAAAGCTACAGTAAAAACCAAAAAGGAAGACTATTCTCTCCACATCCCAATATTGAAAGTAAACTGATATCAGGTCGAACTAGATTATTACAAATTTAGGATGTTAAATGTAATCCCCAATGTAACCACCAATAAAATATCTTAAAAAAATGCACAACAGTAAATGAGAAGGGTGTCAAAATAGTACACAACAACAAAAACCAAACCAAAGAGGCAGTAATAACAGATGAGGGATTTAAAAAAGCTACAATGCATACAGAAAAGTAGTGAAATATCACAAGTTAAATTCCTCCTCATCAGTAATCACTTTAAATGTAACTGGATTAAATTCCTCAATCAAAAGGTAGAGACTAACATGATCCAACTAACAAGTTGCCTTACAAGAGATTCACTTTAGATGAAAGCTCATGAACAGACTGAAAGCAAAAGGTGCAAAAAAAGTATTTCATGCAAATAATAACCAAAGAAGGCAGGGGTGGCTATCCTAATATCAGGTAAGATAAACTTTTAAGTCAACAATTGTTAAAAGACATAAACAAGGACACGATATGTTGACAAAAAAGTCAATTCATCAAGAAGATATACATACTAGACAACAGAGCCCCCAAATATATGAAGCAAATGTTGATAGAACTAAAAAAAGAAGTATGGGTCTACAATAACAAAGTCTTCAGTGCTTCCCTTTCAATAATGGGTAGAATACCTAGACAAAGATCAGTAAGGAAATAGAGAACTTAACATTATAAACCAACTAGATCTACCAGACATTTATGAATACTCCCCCCACAAACAACAGAATACACACTCTGCTCAAGTGTGCATTGAATATTCTCTAAATTAGATCTTATATTAGGCCACGAAACAAGCCTAAATAAATTTTAAATGACTGAATCACACAATCTTCTCTACCCATATGGAGTGAAGATAGAAATCAACAATAAAAGAGAAACTGGAAATTTCACAAATATGTGAAAACTAAACATACTCTCAAACAACCATCTGATCAAAGAAATCTCAAAAGAAATTAGAAAATACTTAGAGAGGGGCGCCTGGGTGGCTCAGTGGGTTAAGTGTCCGACTTCGGCTCAGGTCATGATCTCACGGTTCATGGGTTCAAGCCCCGCGTCGGGCTCTGGGCTGACAACTAGCTCAGAGCCTGAAGCCTGCTTCAGATTCTGTGTCTCCCTCTCTCTCTGACCCTCCCCTGCTCACGCTCTCTCTCTTTCAGAAATAAATAAAACATTTAAAAAATTTAAAAAAAAAGAGAGATAAATGAAAACAAAAGCACAATGCTTCAACACTTACAGAATGCAGTGAAAGCAGTGCTCAGAGGGAAATTTATAGCAGTAAATCCCCACATTAAAAAAGGAAGATCTCAAACCAGTAACCTACTTTATAGGTCAAGGAACTAAAATAAAAAATGAAAGTAGGATGATTCCTGCTGACCTTACAGAAGTAAGAAGGATTGTAAGAGAATACTATACACAACTGTATGCTAACAAATTAGGACCAAGGATAGTAAATGGACAAATTCTAAAAATACACAAAAAATACTGATAGTGTTTTTTCCCCACAACTTTTTCTCATCATCACATATTTTTAAGTCACTCCAGCAAGTTCTCACAAAGATTTATACAACTATAAATAGTTCTTCCAAAGTTCTAAATAAAGAAGAAAGGAGAGAAAATAGAATGATTCCTCCAAGGAACTTACCAGTGAGGTGGTAACTGATATTTCCCTGAGTTCCTTTTAACCCATGGCTAGGACACTGTGACAATGATCATTCTCACAAACTCAAGACCTCATAAGGTTACCCACATACCACGATGCACAAAACCTAGCTATCAACATTTCTTGATATAGGAGGAAAAGGTTATCTTTTTCTTTTTCATACATCACCACGCAGTAAATTCACTCTCCACCAAAACCATAATGCAAATAAATCAAGTGCTTTCATCTTCATGATGGCAAGTGATCTGGTTTATACCACAGGGGACAAGACAGGCAATCCTTGCATTTAATTTGTTTAAAAAGCAGCCAATAATGATAATGAACGGCACCAGCATTAGCACTCAATGCAATTATTTAACTTATTAAAAAGGAACAGCAGAGCTAGGAAGAGCACAGATCACTGAAGAGAACACAACTATCCAATATTCCATCCTAACATATTCTCCTTCCTGATCAACAGCTGTACAGGTCTCAGGCAGAACAGATGCATATCTCAATCTACACTGACACAGAAGCTTTGGATACAGTTTTAAACTCTATTTTATTTGTCATGTAAGCATATCCAAATCAGGTAAATTAGGAATGAAACTCTGTCTACCAATATAAACGATGTCTTGACAAAAGACATTACCTTTACAAAAATATACTTATAATACGAATCCATACCAAAAAACTACCTTTAACACAACAAAAAGGAAAGAGAAGAGTCTGTATTATTACTTTAACAATTTCCTTTACCTTGTATGTTGTCATTCGATGCTGAGCAATTGTAGTCAGTTTTTCTAGAAGGCCTCGTAATCGCTCCTGTGTTGCATGGGAGATCAAGTTCACAGCATCAGAGTTAAGTTCTGTAATGTCATGCTTTTTACCTGTGGAAGCAGAAAAAATCCATTACGTGTTTTAGTGGTGGCTGATAATTGAAATAATTAGCACAGCAGGTATTCTGTTCCCCCTGGAAGTCATACCCATTATGAATAAAGGTTTGGAGATTATGATTTTCCTGGTAAAGTCACAACTTCAAAGATCTTAGACATTACATTAATAAAACCTAGCCTGAAGCCTCAGAAAATATAGACATTGTTTCACTTAGCCTCTAGAATCATTCTCCTTGCAAGGTCATTTATAGGACAAAGTTAATAAGAACACAAATCAAGTCTAGTGTTCAGGGAGGAAAATGGTAACTGCAGAAATTAGTGACGTATTCTGTTAATTTCAGTAATTAAAAAAATAGAAAATTACATTTTGCCCTGTTTGACACTGTTAACAATTTATGACATTTATTTCAAAGAATTCAGATTGTGGGTTTCTGGTACTTCCTTGTCTACAAGACATACCTACACTCATTTTGTCCATTACCGAACATGTTTATTTTGCACTACGTCATGTTCTGATAAACTGACCTGGTAATTAATTTAGTGTTGAAATAGATTCACTCCTCCATTTGAATAATTTCTCTCTCACTAGATTTCAATCCATAAACAAACCAAACTTCTACTCTTTCTGCTACATAGGAAGAAAGATTCAGGAAAACAACTTGGATCACATACCCAAAGGCAGAGGCTCATTTATAAGTCAATCTTATCAGTATTTAAATAATAATTCCTCAGCTCAGTAAAACCACTGTATCAACAGACACCTAAATCTAAAGATACAGCCAATTAGGTAGTCTAATTTTAATGAGCTTTTTAATAGGACTGTTGTGTTTATTTTTAACAAACATAACAGTTTGCTGTTGTACTCTCATCTGAAATGTACTCTTATGTACCCCAAGTGTGAATGAGTACAGCAAAATAGAAAAAATAAGCCTTAATTAAAAGCCAACAAATCATACATTCTTTAACACTATTTCATAAAACAAATGTTAACCTTCAAAGTATAGGCTCTAGGATGTGAGGGTTACCTGGCTATGATATTTGTCACCCCATTGATCACCAGGGTGGATGTGGCTGATCTGCCTGCCAAGGTGCAGTCCCTTTCTTTCCTCTTTCCCTGTTCCTTGCGCATCCCTACCAAAGCCACGTGTTCCCTTGAACTGACCGTCCTGGATAGAGGAGGGCCATTCTTTGGTCAGGGGTATGAGAGTAGCTGCGTTCTGCTACTAGAACCTAGAAAAAAAAGCTCTCCAGGTCCAAAATGCAGGCTACAGTAAAGCAGACAGGAAGAATATATAAAATTATGTAGCTTCTCCTAAGCCAAACCTTCAGAATATGGTTCATCGCTATCTAGCAAAACTGAATTCATCACCAACTTTAGATTCAAGCAGGGAAAAAAACACTACAAAGTCAAAGCTACTCTACTAAAACTGTCAGCATACATAAATAGCAGAGGTCTTCTACATAAAGGACACAATTTCAAAATCATCCAGTGATTAAAGTTACAATCAAACATAGGGTATATAAGGGATCACATGTCAGTTCATGATTGAAGGAAAGAAAATGAACATTTAAAAATATGTACTGTTTTGGAGGGAAACTTCAAAAATAATTTTATATGTATTTTTAAAAGTTTATCCTATGTAAAAGAAAAATCCATGTTTTAAAAGTATTAGAAATAAACAAGTGAGGTTTGCAGACAAGTCCAGGGTTTAACAATCAAATGTTCTATCTTCACTACACTGATAATAAAACATAACAAAGTTACTTAGTTACAATACTGCAAGAAAAATTCCCACATTTAGGGATGCCTGGGTAGCTCAATTGGTTTGCGTGTCTGACTCTTGATTTCAGCTCAGATCACGATCCCAGAGTTGTGGGATTGAGCCCTGTATCAGGCTCTGTGCTGAGCATGTGGAGCCTGCTTAAGATTTTCTCTCTCTCCCTCCACCCCTCTCCCCAACTTGTGCTTGCTCTCTAAAATTTAAAAAAAAAAAAAAAAAGTCTCACTTTTAAATATAATACTCTCTTTAATTCAACATAATTGATTTTAAAAATCTAGCTGGTGCTTGCAAGCTTGTTATGTTATTTTATAGAATGTCTGTAATTTAATTTAGGTAATTAGCAAAAAAGGAAAAACATTGGCATGTTTACTATCCTAACATTTAAGTAGAAAACCCTTCTGAAAACATTCTCTGGAATTCTGGATTAAGGAATAGTCCTGGTTCTGACCTATTCTATAAAGATAGAATTTTACTATAAATGGAAAACATTCCTAGAAATACATAATTCTACTCACTCTATGTTTTATTGTTTTTTTCTTTTTTTTTAAGCTTAGGTAATTCAGGCTTAGGTAATAGAAGATTTGCAATTTTCTATCCCATTAAGTGACAAATTTGTGATTATTAAGGGCTGATAATACAAATAGTTGTCCCCAGAACTCTTGAAAACAGAGGCTGGCAAACTAAACTTGATCTCTTTTGGTATGTAAAGCTTGACAGGGATACAGTCTTGCCTATTTGTTTACATATTCTCTAAGGCTACTCTTGCAAAGCAGAGCTGAGTAGCTGTGATGCAAACCACATGGCCCACAAAGCGGCAAATATTTACTATCTGGCCCCTTGAAGGAAAAAAATTGCCCATCCCTGTCCTAAATGATCAAATTGTTCTTTCAATGCCAAAGACTTTCCTATCATATAATCAAAGTTTAAGTCAAATTAGAAATACAATTTGTTAGGGGGTGGGAACAAATAAAACTAAGTATCTACTTCTACTCTACCAAAGCTCTAGGTAATTATATAGTTAATTACATGCAGTCAATACGAGTTAAGTTGCCCAAGCCATCACAGGACTGTATAATGCCTCTTTCAAAATTAAGGAAATGGCTCCTATACAGTATAAAACACTTAGGCAAAGAAGAAACTGAAAAAGTAAGAAAGAGAGGGAAACAGGGCATCTGGGTGGCTTAGTCGGTTGATTTCAGCTCAGGTCATGATCCCAAGGTCATAGGATCAAGTCCTGCATTGGTCTCTGAGCTCCACACTCAGCACTGAGTTTGGAGCCCACTTAAGATTTTCTCTCTCTTTCTCCTTCTCAGTCTTTCCCCCCTTCCTCCTGTCTTGTGCTCTGTCTCTAAAATTAAAAAATAAAATAAAAATAAAGGAAAGGGAAGAAAGAAGGAAAAGGAGAAGGCCGCAGGCAGGGAGAAAAGTCAAACAAAATGCAAGCAGGGAGCAAACATTTTAACATCAGCTCTTCTGAATTCCTAAACTTTTGGACTGCTTATAAATTCTAGTTTTTCATAATAAAAGAAAGATAACAGATACCCAAGTTACATTAGAGATTAAAAAAAAGGTGCAGGAGCTCAAATATTTCTTTATTATTTTGCAAAACAGATTTAAAATATGTAATAGTAATGTATTTTGTAGTCCTTTAAAATACTATGGTGTCTCAACTGGTTGAGCATCTGACTTCTGACTTCAGCTCAGGTTATGATCCCAGGGTCATGAGATAGAACCCACATTGGGCTCCATGCTCAGCATGGAGGCTGCTTAAAATTCTCTCCATCTTTTTCTCTCTCACTGTCCCTCTTCCCCACTCATTCTCTCTCCCTCAATTAAAAAAAAAAACCAGAAATCAGAAACCTTCTGATTTTTGTGTTAGGGCTTCAATATAAAATATAAAGATTCTTGGGGTGCCTGGGTGGCTCAGTTGGTGAAGTGTCCAATTTCAGCTCAGGTCATGGTCCTGCGGCTCATGGGATCAAGCCCCAGATAAGGATGTCACTGTCAGTATAGGGCCCGCTTTGGATCCTCTGTCTCCCTCTCTCTCTCTGCTGACCCCCCCCACCATCAAGAATAGATAAACATTTAATAATGATGATAATAATAATAAAGATTCTTACTAAAGTATACTTAAAGGTCACTAGTATTGACCTCCCAATTTTGATATGGGAGAAGGGACTCCGAGAAGTCCCAGGGTTACGACATAAGAAATGAGATAACTCACATGCAATAATCTCTCATTTCTCAGTCAATGTGGGGAGAGTGTAGTCTCTCACATTAATGCAAGTTTGGTATTAAAGAACAACCAAAAAGCTGTGTGGCTCCAGAACATAACTGGTACATTCTTTTCCATTTCCTTCTACACGCTGCCGCCATCTAATAACTACTTTTGGAGCCAGAGAGACACCTAATATTTTAGAGATCTTTTAGAGCAAGGATGGGTTTAAATTTCAGGGTTGAGATAGAAAAAAGGGACTCACTTTCAATTTCTGTGTTTCTATGTTTCACAGTACTTGGCAGTTTCTATATTTCATAAACATGAACTTGTAATGTATGCATGAATTTGTATACATATGTGCTAAAGTTCAAGAAAGGAACAGGACAGAAAAAAACTGTATATCATATGCACAAATTCACATAAGAATACACACATCTTTCTCCCTCTAAGAAATACACATAAAATATTAACTTCTATTCTCTAATCCAGAAACTATAGATTATGATTTAAGTTACGTTAGTAGTTTTTAAAATAAATGCTTCTTTCCAGAACACCCATGAAATTCTGATTATTTCCACAGCCTATGTAAGCCTCGCCGTTCCAGAAACGCCAACCCAGGCTGCCTCCTTTGAGAGCACTTTCCCTGGAACAGACAGTCCTCTCAGGTCGACAGTCCTAAGTCTGCACTTACCAATGTCTAAAATCCTCTTCTGCAGAGCTCCGATGAAAAGAAAAGGCTCATCTTTACATGACTGAACCAGAGTGCCAACCAGTTCAGAGTTTGTTGCTAAGATGCAGGCATTTTCTTCACTGAGGTTGACCCCTGCCATGGAAGCCACATCATTGATGTCATCTTCATCTCTAAGAGGGAAAAAAGATAGCTTTTTGGTGGTGGTGGGGAATATGTATATGAATGATTTAAGAGAGCAAAGAATTACAGATCTTTCCTTAAAACTAAAGACATCATTTTCTCAATTCATCCAAGCAAGAGAATTGAAGAATAGCTATCTTTCCCTGGAAGCTTTTAAAATTAATTGATGTGTCTAACCATTAGTATACATTTAATCAGAAAGATGAATCAGAAACAACTCTGTCTCCTTGTGTCCATCTCTCTGTCTTTCAGTTTAGTCAATGAAATACACCAACAGGAACTTGGAGTTAAACTAAGTTATCCACAAATGCCCTGAAATGAAGAGACAAAGAAATGAAAACAGACTTCTTTGTTTTCATCCAAGATGATTAAAAGCTCTTCAGATTTCCCCAGGGCACTCTACTGTTCCATTGAGGGGCAGGAGAAACCCCTTGAAAGGTCCGTACCTACACAGAGACCCCTGAAAAGAAGCTTTTTTGGCTAACTATTCTGAAACCAAATGGTTAAAGCTAGTTTTGATTTTCTGCCTCAGACTTTTGGTGTGCTCCATCTGTACCAACTGAATTCATTAAACCACATCCTCGAGCAAATGGCTCCAAAGGTCTACATATAAGATATAAATTATACACATACGCATACTAACATGACATATGTATAAAACACAAAATGTGTCTGAGTTCCTTGCATCACACCAGCAAAATTAAATAGTTGTTTTTATCTAATAGGATTGCTACATGGCTACAGTGCTAAGATGAGTGTATCTGTTTAAGGGTAGAGAAGACAGAAAAGAAATATGAAAATTTCCTCAAAGCATCCTTATCACCATATGTAATAACAAGCAGGTTACCAACCATAACTCACCTATCAATGCATAACATAATTTACACAAACATGATTATATAAAAAAGATGTTGCTTCTTTTTATTGCATGGGCCAAATGGTATATATCATGTGGTCTTACGTCAATAGATTTAAATTATGAAACTCCCTGTGGTAACACATTTGTGCACGGGGAAGGGAAATAAATTATAATTTTCAAGCACTCAAGAAATGAAGGCCTCTGGTATTCCACTTTAAAAGGCAGCATATTAGGGGTGAGGGGGAAAGAGACCATGCTCAAACATATATGAGAGGTTTAAAAAAAAAAAAAAAACTAAATAAAAGAAAGCTAGACACAGCAGTTGAAAGTGAAGAGAGAACAGTCTTATAATCTGAACAGTAGATTTAAAACCCTAACATTAAAAGGTGTGTCTTTACAAAGGGAAAAATAAAACATGCAATACAAAGAAACTATACAAAAATGCTTGGACTCCACCTTATCAAATGTCACAGAGGTATTGTCAGAAGTATGAATGCCAAAAATGGTTCTAGAAATTATTCTGCCACCTATATAAGTGTTTCCAGAAACATCTAAACATGTAGACAGCTTAAGTGTAAGAATGGCAGACACCATAAACTCAAAGATAGACCATGATCCAAATAAAATAAATAAAAGATCTGAGTAAAAATTAATTTTAAAAACCCCATGTCTCAAAGTGCACCTGGCTGGCTCAGTCAGTAGAGCACGCAACTCTGGATCTGGGGGTTGTGAGTTTGAGCCTCACACTGAGGGTAAAGATTACTTTAAAGTGCAAAAACCAAACCAACCAACCAACCCCCCCCCCCCCCCCCCCCCCCCCCCATCTATCAAGGGAATGAAAAGACAAGCTACAAACTGGGAGAAAATATTTGCAAAAGTCATCAGATAAAGGACTGTTATCCAAAATACACAAAGAACTCTTAAAACTCAACAATAAGAAAACAAACCAATTAAAGAATGGGCCAGAGACCTAATACATGCCTCACCAAAGATGTAGAGATGGCAAAGAAGCATATGAAAAGATGGTCCACATCCTTGTCATCAGAGAAATGTAAATTAAAATGAGATGCCACTATACATCTGTTGAAAAGGCAAAATCCTAACCACTGACATCAAATGCTGATGAGGCTGTGGAGCAACAGGAACTCTCACGCTGGTAGGAATGCCAAGTGGTACAGTCGCCTCGGAAGACAATTTGGCAGTTTATTACAGAACGTACTTTTACTATATAATCCAACAACTGCACTTCTATGTACCCAAAGGAGTTGGAAACTTATGTCCACACAAAAACTTGTACACAGATGAGCCGCTTCAGAGATGACAAACAAAACTTGGAAATAATCAAGATGTCCTTCAGTAGCTAAGTGTATAAATAAACTGGTATATCCAGACAATAGAGTTTTATTAAGTGCTAAAAAAAAAAAAAAAAAAGAGGTGTCACACCATGAAAAGACAAACAGGGAAATGTAAATGCATAGTACTAAGTGAAAAAAAACAATCTGCAAAGGCTACATACTGTATGATACCAACTATATGACATTCTGTAAAACGTAAACTATGGAGACAATAAAAAGACCAGCAGTTGCCAGGGACTTAGCAGGGAGAGAGAGATGAATAGAACACAGAGAAGTTTTAGGGCAGTGAAACTACTCTGTATGATACTATAATGTTGGATACATCATTATACATTTCTAAAACCCGAAGGATGTACCAGAGCAACAGCAAACTGTAATGTAAATTCTGGACCTTGAGGGATAATGACTTGCCAATGCAGGTTTGTCAACTATAGCAAATGGATCACTCTGGTGGGAGATGTTGATAACGAGGGAGGCTATGCATGTGTGAGATTAGGGTGAATTCTCTGTATCTTCCAATCAATTTTGCTGTGAACCTAAATCTGCTTTAATAAACAAAGTCTACTCAAAAAAAGGAAAAGTAAAGAAAAAAGGTCAACTACACATTAATGAAGAGCTAGTTCACTCTAGAACTGAAACCCAACCAAGTACTTACCATCCCTAGGACTCAAATTTTTCCTTAAAAAACGAGTAACTTGGATTAGGTGTTTTTGAAGGTCCCTCTCAGCCAGTTAAAAGAATGAGGCAGTTCTCTTTGACCTGATAAAGAATAACTGCCAAGGACTATTATGAAGTAGGGGGGAAAAAAAGAGGTAGAGAAGAGACGGTCTCTTGGGAAACAGACACACACGCACACGCGCGCACACACACACACACACACACACACACACACACACACACACACAGGCATAACATATCCCATACCTCTGGAAATAAAAATGAGAAATTCTCTTGAGAGGAAAACAGGGAAGTAGGGATAGGAAAGACTTTTTTTTTTCCTGTTTTATTTGTTTTATTTTATTTTATTATTTTTTTTTTACAAATAGTTTATTGTCAAATTAGTTTCCACATAACACCCAGTGCTCATCCCCACAAGTGCCCATCCCCCCTCCCCCCTAAGACTTATTTTATACCACGGTATACTCTTTTCTACCTTTTGAATGCTGTACTATGTACATGGATTACCCAATAAAAATTTTTAGTGATATTTTAATAGTAAACAAACATTTAGGAAAAGAAAAGTGGAAACAGGAAATATGAAGTTTTCCCTTATCAATCTTCCCTTAAAAAGAAAATCAGAACTGGTTAAGGTAGGGGCGCCTGGGTGGCTCAGTCTGTTAAATGTCCAACTTCGGCTCAGGTCATGATCTCACAGTTCCTGAGTTCAAGCCCTGCGTTGGGCTCTGTAATTTCAGTTCAGAACGGAGCCTGCTTCAGATTCTGTCTCCCTTTCTCTGTCCCTCCCCCATTCATGCTCTGTTCCTCTCTGTCTCAGTAATAAATAAACATTTTAAAAAAAGAATTTTCTTGCAGCCCTCCTCTGAAATAAGCAAGGAACTAACTGCCCAAAAAGATTTGTTCTTGCCTGCCTTCCCTCCTCCTATTTGGCCCCAAGCTGAACACAGCTCCCTCTAGTACAGCTGTCAGTTGCTATGGTTACAGAGGGCAGCGGGAATAGCGGAAGACCCCTACTGAGGGAAGAGGAAAAGGTGCCACAGTAAATAGCACCCAAGCCATTTAACACTTCCTCTAAGAAAGGAGGCAGACTGATGGAAAGAAAAGACAACACAATGCTGTAACAGCATTATCAATAAGGCTAAGATAAGCCAGGACATTATTAAAGGCTTTGATGTTGAAGCACAGTTGTGATTCTGGTTTAGGTTTTAATTCTGAAGAAGAAAATGAGACTCTCTGAACTATATCTTGAAGTCTTCTGATCTGATGCAGTGTTTTTGATGAAGGAACTATGAAGAATAATCTGTTCTGTTTTCTTTTTAAGATACGCAAAAAGGAAATTTAATAATGTCTTAGTAAAAAAAACTTTCCAATTTAAGATTCTGTAGGCTGTAATGAGTTACTGTGTAAAAATTAAAGAAGCATTACCCAATTATCATTAATGTCTTGCATTCTGGCTTCTAAAACTGATCTAATTCTTTAGCTTTTGATAAAGTTATCTACTGCTCATGCCTTACTTCTTAAATCTCTTCTACCCTCTTAAGATCTACACCAGCACCCGACTGACTCTTCTAAAGTACAGGGAATCATATTACTTTCCTGTTCAAAAATCTCTCCTGCTGCCAAGAACTTAACCTGATATTCAAGGTTCTCCAGGTAATGACCTTAACTTTGCACTCTTCCCTCCCATTACTATCACACAGTTCGTACTGACTCTTGGCCTTGCTCAGAACACTCCCTACATGCAGTTCTAGTCTTCAAAGTCCTCTTTTATGATCTTTCAGTGGTCAAAGTCTTATCTATATCCCAGTCCTTTTCAAATACCTAGTTTAGAAATACTGTTTTAATTTGTTTTAAACTTGTTTCTATGTCTTTTTTTTTACTTTGTTTTTACACTAATAAAATACTAATACTGATACTTTAAAAAAGCATTTATCCAATTGCTACAACTTTTCAACTTCTGAGAGCATGTTTTGTCTCTCTTATGGTAGATTTCACTCTGCCTTCTATTCTAAAAATCAGCGTATTTCAAGGGATAACCTGTATTAAGCCCCCCTTCCCCCAATTCCCACACTAATAACTTCACTGAAAAGAAATAGAG